AAATTGCTGGCTCCCATTTTACAAGGACCAGGGTGAATTTACTAGGGAAGCAAGGAAAACAGTAACTTCTCCGTGAGCCTCATCCAATGCAAGTGTGTTCCTAATCTCATGGCAGGTGTTCTGCCTTTCCCCCTCCACCCACATTGCTCTGCATCCATCTCTGCAAAGGATATTGATACCTCAGGAAAGATCACTGCAGAAACCACAATAAAGTTTAAGAAAGTGAAGAATATGCCATATAGTGAAACGCCAGAAACCTAAGCTTGTAATTGAGAAAGTTATGAAGCAATTTGCGGACAATCTAAAAGCATATAGGTATACTGCTCACTTGGATAAGAATCTTCTCAGTTGAGCTGATAGGAAGCAAAAAATCCATTTTGGTCTTGGTGCATGGAGCATATGTGTAGCAGAAATGAATACTCATAAACAATAAGTGATGAAGATGGCTCAAATGTTCACTTGTGCGGGAATTATCTGTTGAAAGAACTGAGGACAGGGTCACAGCGAGTTTTCCATTGTTGTCTAGCTCACCAAGTGAAAAATACGCTTTCCCAGGAGACAAGGAGCAATAAAAATTCTTTCAATTGCATTAAAATGGACTATTCCTGTTACACATTCCCCATATGTTAAGCAAATGAGAGACTATCTTTACAGCTGCCCACACCAGTCACCAGTAACGTTTTATGTTTCAGGCTAGGCAAGACTACTTTCAGCTGACACCTATATTTTACATCCTGATATAAAAACTGCTGCTTTTGGTTGCACAAGATGTAAGCAATAGTTTCCAAGATGTAAGAATATGGCATACTCCACTAAGCTCTAAGTCTTCCATAACTCCCCTACAGACAGAGCAGGAGCAGATGATACGCCACTAAAACAATAGGCGCCTACTTCCAGTTGGATTTAATCCCTGACGTACTTACCTTTTCAAACAGGGTATCAGCAGATCTGGACTGTGAAGCCTTGGGAACGGGCTAATTAAAGGACAAGTTGTAGCCAGTTCAGTTCACAGTACAGTTAAAGCACAAATCCAGGCTGGCTCTTCAGGAGTAAACACAGATCTAAAAGTGTAGCAGAATGGTCCAGAATGCCTTTACTGGGTCTGTTTTGACTGGAAATCGAGGAAATGCACCAACAAGCCATATCCAGCCACCACTGAATTTTGCAATACTCCAACACTCTTTTTCCAAAAAAAATTATTCCTGAGTGAATGATTATTTAAAGTATTGCACTATATCAAAATACGTTACTAGTTTAGCTTCAAGAAAGGAACTATACAGCAGCCAAAGCACTGGGAAAACAAATGTAAGCTCAGGCACAAAAACTGAACAGAAGACTAAGATTCGTCTTTTGTCAGCATTGTGTCACTTCGCTGCTGATCCTGCTTTGTAAATCACACTTCCATACCAGCTGGAGCTACAGAATCAATAATTAAATAGCTTTGGATGGTGCTTATTGCAAAAGGAGAATAGGGAACAAGTATTTCTAGAACCAACAAAAGGAATGGTGTTCTTCTCTGGTCTTAATGAGGGACCTCAATGTTCACATGCTTGTTTAATAATTTAAAATATTCTATCAGAAAAAGATAGAAATAAGGAGGTTTCATTTCCATTCAAAGTTTCTGGACACAGCATTCTGTGAGACTAACCAAGCAGAAGGGCAATGAGTGTAAAATAGTAAGAACCAAGAGAATGAAACTGTTAAAGGAGCTTCAGTCTTCCTTCAGCAATTTTTAAGGGCAATCTTTTTAAGCACATGCATGTTAATGGAACTGCAGTGCCCATAGCCCCAGGCTAAATGAGAGACTCTAACCACCAATTCTCAAGACCACAGTCAAATAACTCACTCAGAATAAGAACACTAAGCTTTTGTACACCAAAGCATCGCTGGGGAAATCACTAGTTCACAGCATGGAGTGCAACACCTCAGAAGTTACAGTTTAGCCCAAAGCCATTTTGGAATATTTATTATTTGGGAAATCAAAAAAGAAGAAAGATTTAGAATTATTTGCTGATGTGCATGCAGGAGGTATGCTTTTAAATGCATTAATAAATTTAATGAACTAAAAACCAGTTGGATCTGATTTACAGTAGGTTTGGTAGAACCAAAGCACAATTAACTAATGTATGGAATCCACAATGCGGTCAGTCAGAGTGACAGGAAAGGTGAAGGAAGAGTGTTCTTCGTAAAAAGTAGTTACTTTTTTCTCTTCTGTAATTCTTTCAATTTTAAAGATAGGGCAAATGGCTCACCAAAGCCTTTTTAAAGTTCTATTTTAAAACATGATCATACTGTCTCAACTCTGCAAAACCTCAATGATGTTGATGAACAGACTGTTTGTTTTCATTACACTGTAGTAAGGAAAGTGATACATCCAATACCTGGAAAATAATGGAAGTCAATTTCCAAATTAATATAAAGATATTAGAAACAGGAATAATTCATCCTATTTAAATTGTTCAAAACCTTACAAAGATTCAGATTCAAACCACATCAATTGTTCACAGTATCCAGAATGCAATTTTCTGATAATAAGAAGAAACCTAGGTTTAAGAAAGACACAAAACCAAAAATTCCTTGGCTGTGTCAAACCTGTGGGACTAGGAAGCATTCCCAGGTACTGGGAGCACACTCCATCCCTGACTGTACAGGTAAGATCTCTGTGCCTACTCTTATGCCTTGGTTCTCTATCAGCTGGAAGAAGAGCTCTGAGCTTTGCTAGTCTGGAAGACTTGGGGACAAATACTGCTGTACAGGGTGAGAGGTAACCCTCAAGATTCGGGTTTTGTATGTGTCTAGAATTCAGCAATTCTGAAATATTTTGCAGAATGAAAGCCTGACAAGAGCCATAAACATAACAGTTTTGCTTAGTCTTGAAATTATCTTAATATTGTCCCATGTAAATTTAAGGCTACCGAAGTAATGCAAAGTAATTACCTTTATATATTGCCAAATTTTTGTTATTTTAAGAATTCCTGAATGTATATGAATCTATAACATAGTCTATAATCAAAATACTATATAATTGTATTGTTTCATATCAAAAGCTGTAAATGCAAGTGTGGCATCTCATGCACCAGCCACAGGAATTCTCCTTATTCATTAGTTGGATTTATACAGAAACGCCTAATTTCAGTATTCCAGGGGACACGCATTAAGTTAGAGTGAAAGCTACAGTTTCTAGTTCATTCTGGAATTTTTCTGTTAAGTAATCTCTCCTGCTAGCACAAGTACAAGCTTACACCTCTGAAAATGTATCAGTCAACACGTGCATGTTTCTACTATGCAGTTTTCATAATCTTCCTATTGAACACAGACCCTACGCTAGCAGAAGTCTCAGACATGAATGCATTTGGAATATCTCTCTCAGAGTTGATAAATACTTTTACCAATTACTTGTTTTAGGATTTTGAACATCCTATATATTAAATACCTTTTTAAGACAGCAGGTGATGAGTAGTACTAGCTGAGACATTTCCTTACAGTGATCTCTTCAGATGTAAAGTATTAGTACGTTAGTTTCAGAGCTTGCAACAGACTTTTTGTAAACATCTGTAGATATCCTTTAAAAAGTAACTTCTAGTTTAGTATTAATGTTTTAGAACTTCGATTCTTAGGGTTGGCTTTTGCAACTCTTTTAATCAGTTTTCTGGTTCTTCGCTATCAAGATCTGCTTTTTTCTTATAATTTGCACTGACATAGTGAAGTAGGAGTAATAAGGTAATGTTGTCATTACAATGCATAAATACTAACAAGGTAACCTGCATCATCTGTATTTCACAGGTGCAGACAGTTATCTTGATGAGCCCTGTGATACTACTGAAAACATTTTAGTAGAAGCAGGGAAATAAGCTATGCATTAAAAAAAACCCAAACTTTCTTACTGCAGGTTACCAAGGTAGGAGAAAAAGCATCATCTGGACAATAATGTTATTGCAAGTGATAATGAAGTTCTGTGTTGGCTGGAAACAAGTCTTGCCTGGGAAGTCCTTGGGATGACTGATACTTTATGAGCATTCTCTTCCTAAGCTACCTTGTTTTCATACCAGTGTTGCTGGATATAAATTGAAAGAGCTGAATGTGAGAGGACAGTAGGTGAGATCTCCCAGACTTAAAGACAATTTAGTATTATAGAAAGAAGAAATCATTAGTGATGCAGTCTTCTACTCTTACTTTCATACATGGGAGAAGCTGTGAGGAAGTAAATTCCAAGTCGGAGAAGCTCCTCTACACTTCAGGTACACAGCATCTTGGTTTTGGGTCCTGTAAATTCTGTTCTCTTGAATAAAATGAAGCCTTTTTATTGGTTTCAATAATACAATGTATAAAAGGTTAACACAAATATCTATCCAAAAATCGTCCCACAAAAACCCGCAAACACTTCAGCACGTAGCAAATTTAGACTTCAGTGAGCATTTTTCAGAGACCTCAATCCAGTCAGTAACTCTAGCCCTTGCAAAAGTAAATAAAACACTTACACTGTGAAGGAAAAATTGAAGTATGCATCTTTTTTACTCATTACTTCATCTACTTTTTCTTATGACAAGCATTTCCGAGAGCACATTCCGAGTAGAATCATTCAAGTTGTGTTCAAGTGTCCAGGAAGTCCTGTGTGGTTATGAAAGCTGCCACCAAATGAGGGGCTTTTGTATCCAGCAGTCATAAACAATTCCTGGTCAGGCAGAAGCTCTCCAGCGTGCACACTAAATTAAGTCTTTTGAAACCATCTGACAGTAACATTTAATATGATAGAGTTGCTATCAAAATACAACTTTATTGATAAAACACTGATTAAAAGACCAACTAAACTTAGGACAAAGACATTTCAGAGACTGCAGTGTGAACTAGGTATTAAACACATTTAAAGGGCTACAAAAAGGACAGGGGGGCAGTTATAACAACAAATTTTCTCTGGCAAACTGCTCAGACACAAACTAGTTCATGTAGCAGGCTTAGGAGGTGACCTGTGCACGGATGCAATATCAGCATTCTTTAGCGAGTCCCGTGTGAAGTGTGGCAGAAACAGCTACAATCACTGTTCATGCTTGCATTTGAAAAAAAATTAAAAGCTAACAACAAATTCATCTGGATAATACAAAATGTATTTGTCCTCTATGAAATCACAGGAAGTTCTCCAAGAGGAAAGCTTCTCCCAGTGCAGCTAAGGATTCATAAAGGTGTTCTTGGAAACGGCTGTCAAACATGCCACTTATTTCCTCTCTTAACTCCCTCAGCAGAGGCACTGTGGACTTACCACCTGCATTCAGAATTCTTCCAAAAAGTTTACTCCAGAAATCACTGTTAACAGTCCTAAAACAAACAGAGCACTTTTCAGTGAAATGGCATGCACACACGACATGTCTGTCAAGATTTACATTTATATTCAGCACTAAATGCCCTGGGAAAACCAAGTCTGAAATAATACTTTCACTCACATGAGTAAAGGTAGAAGAAAACGAGGAATGTATTGTTAAGTTTATACGTGTGGGCCCCCTTCTTCTTCTCCAGTAGGGTTCTGGATAGTAACTGCACAGCCTGTTTCACAAGACTATCAAAACCACTATCAGAGTTACCTCTTCTAGTAATTCTACCCAGAATCCTACTTCTTTTGATCCGTTGTCCCCAGCTTTGACTGAAATTCCTTTCCAATTGATCCCTCCCCTCCCAGCTCCCATAACAGCCAGCCCTATCCTTCCAAACTCAGACTTACCATACCTGCTACTCAGCTCCTCCTGCTCCAATTATCCAGACAGTTATTGCTATTTTTCCCACACCCACGTCCTGATGAGGTCCCCAACATCCTGTTCCTACCTTCTCAACTCAGGCCTTTAGTGGCTTCATCTGCCATTGCTCAATTTAATCTCTTGTAGAATTAAAAAGTTAAATAATAAAAAAATAAATTTTAAAAAAAGGCAACACCTATCAGAAATCTCTCCCTCTCTAACAGAATACTGTTAAAAACAGATCATGTTCTGATACAAATTAACATACAAGAATCCTATTTTTCAGAGCAGGACAGATTTACATAGTTCAAAGACACTTAATGTTAGAATATCTGTCGATAGAGCAAAAGCCAGTCTCCATCAATGATTTAGTTGGGCTTTTTTTTTTTGCCCCCCCTTTTTTTTTTAGTATTTCTGAAACAACAGCAGTGTGAGATATGTATTTACTGCCAACCTATATGTCATTGATATTCATCTCTTGAGAGAACAATCACTCACGGGGATTTTGTTCTTCACAGACTAGTCCTATAAGTTGATGTTCTGAAGAAAAACCAAAAGCTACAGGGTACAGCATGGCATGCATAGCGAGCACCCAGCAGAAGCCTGCTATAGCCTTGTAACTACTGCTATCAGTAGCAGAAAAACAGATATATGCCCAGTAAAGAAAAAAAGTGTTTTTCCCCTGTACACAGCTTAAGAAGATGAGATTTTTTCAAAGGTTGAATACAACCAACTAGGAGGTATAAGTAATGCAGGTTGCTAGGGAACTGGACAACTCCCAGATTGGTAGGAGGTTTTCTTAAAGCAACACTTATAGAGAGGTACATCCACACAGCGCGTGTAGCTAACACACCATGATCCTGAATGCAGACATCCATCAAGTAATTTGTGTCATGAGCAGAGAGCTCTGGAAAATCCTTATGAAATGTTAAGGCAGAAAATTCTGCAGGATGTGCCTAGTAATGTGAACGAGTTTTCAGTCTAAGAACAAACAAAAGGGCAGATAAAGGCAGAGTAGTCTTATAGCCAAAACATGTGTCTAAAAGAGAGCAGTAGAAATTAATACCCGAGGACAAACAGCAGCTTCCAAAAAGAAGCTGCCTGCACATGCATCTTAAATTGTAATTTTAAATTATTTTCCTTCTTGTGCATATATACTGTTTCTGCAACTGTTAGAAACAGAACCCTGGCATCAATGTGTTAGTAGCCCTTTAATATAGCCTAGAATGAAAAATAAAAGCAGAAAAACAAGATAATCTCCATTTCTAAAGCAACACTCTCATGTAATTTTTTTTTCCTCACCATCCACCCACTTAGAAACTTCTCCAAGCTTGGTCTATCAAGTGAAAAGAGACTAAAGCAGTCTGGTCTGAGAGGAAAGAAAAAGTAAAATCATCTTAACTGGACTGGTAGGTTCACATTCAGCTTAAAATTGTCTCCTACACTGCACCAAAGCTACTATATGATGAACAGGTCTAGTAGCTGCAACATTTAAGTCCCCACAGAACTAAGGCTTTTGGCAACAACAGCACCAAGTTCTGTGTTCTAAGTTTTGAAGATGGTACCACTGTAAAGAAAGTGAAGGACATTAGAAGTCTGTTCTTTCCCAGCAGCCTCCTCTGCAAAAGGACTTACTTTGATACATTTTGGCTGATTTTCCAGATGGAATTCTCTTGATAGACCTGGACGTGATCCCCAAACAGCATCAAATGGATGATATCTGCTATGCCAACCAAGTCTACCTGCAATCACAACCAACATCAGAACATTCAACTTCTGCAATCCCCTACAGATTTCTACTGTCTGTACTTTTACACATTTAGGTCTGAACTGGTCTTTGTATCAGAACTTTCCAGAGACCTCCTGGAAAAATGAAAAATTCTCTTTATTCAGTATTTACTGATCAGAGCTTCCCACAGAGTTTTCAAAATATAACTTCAGAAAATAGAGATTTTGTAAAGGGAACACAGAAACTAAGATGTCCTGCTAAGTAGATACTCACCTGATAAGGAAGAGAACTTTTCACCAGAAGCTGTTGTCCATGAGGGGTCTGGGATATTGGAAAGCTGTTGGGCCAACTTACTTGAGACTGTAATCTCAAATCTAGACTGTGAGAGAAATCCACTATCTTCAGAGCTGTTGTAATCTCATCACTAGCAAACGGGTCACAGATCCTGAGCAGAGGAAGCAAATGAAGTTTAAGACAATCCAAAAAAAAATTTTTTTTTTAATGAAATTTAACAGCACAGTGAAGGTGAGTCTTAGCTATGTCGATGCTCCCCTCTGATGGTTAGCTTAAGAACTACTGCTGAAAGGAGCACGCCTGGATGGGAACCTGCTGGCAGCCTGAAGTTTAGAGATGATACTGTTATCTCCAGAGTAAGCAACTGGAAACACTACAGGGTTAATGATGATGCTGTTTTTATATTTGTCAGTTATCAGAAACACAGTTGGTGGCATGGGAAAATAACATAACATTGAGCACTTCTCCCTCTCCTTCAAGAGCACAGAATACTTTCTACAAGAAAGAATTAAGCTTCATAATACTTTGAAAAAAATCTTTCCTAGTCTACACACTAGGGAGGACAAAGAGAAGGGGCAGTTAGGAGTATCTGTACAGATGGCTGCGTACTGCCAAGCCAACAATATAAACAGATCACACTTCTCACTATTATTCTTCTTACATATTTGTATGCTATGAGCATATTTTGTAATTGATACCATGCACTTGTCCTAGGATAGGTTTTGCTATCTAAAAAACCCCCACATCAATATCCTAATTTTTTGGCAGTTTAGTTTGGTTTGTATTTGTCACAGAGAAATCCAGCAGGAGATATCCAAGTCCATCAAGCCACTTGTCAGATCAGTGACTTCCAAAATGGGATGTGTGCACCCTAAGGGAGGTGCAAGACAATCCATTGGAGTGTGTGAATAAAATATTAAGAACTTTAGTACATGTATGTAATTTATAAATAAATTTTATAAATAAAATAGTATTACATAAATTATAAATAAAATATATTGGGGGAGTGCATGTTAGATGACTATAGTTTTAAAATACATTTAAAGTTAATAGCTATTTTTAATATATCAGTGAAGACTAAGAACAGCCTCAGTGCATTCCTTCTAATGTAATTATATCCAAATCATTAGACATTCCAAAGTTACTGTCTTCCCACACTTACTTCACAGCTCTCATTTCAAGGGATATGCAACTTTGTTAACATAACCTGGGAAAGAGCTTAAAGAAGTAAACTAGATCAGTGCATCACGTTACAAGCTGGGCTGTAGTGGAAGCCAGGCAATCTGTTTAAGAAAGTGTCTGGATATTCCAGTCCCACCTCCCCTCTGTCTCCTAATTTCCTGTTTCCCAGAAACGTAAAAACAGAAGGCAAGTTATTTACCAATATCCAGTAAAGTAGGAACTTGAGAACACAGGCAATAGCCTGTTTAGTTAAAGTTTTACAACATCATTGTATCCTATTTCTATAGAAATAAACAAAAGCAAGGTTTACTTCGTTTACGAAGTGTTTTCACTATTTTCAGAATACACTGTAGCCTAAAATAACTGAACTGCAGTATCAGTACCTTGGCTAAAGAGGAGAAATTACAAAAGCACAAGAGCTGTAGCTGAAACTAAGGATTATATATCCTCCTATATTTACAAAAAGAGACAAACCTGTCTCCCAGAAAGACCACCTCTGGACTCAGATCTCCATGGACAATCTCTGCTTTGTGGAGCTTCTCTACCACACCCAGGAGATTATGAACAATCAGTAGGATAACTTCCTCTGTGATGGACTGAGAGCCACGAATAACATCCTGAAACAAAGGGAATAAACATGTATCTATAAGCCATTCTACCTTAGATTAAGTGAAATATTTATAGTTCACCATTTTTTCCTTACTCATCTGTACAGAGATAAAAGTCCTACCCTAAATTCAGTATAATCAGATTTTGCCCATGATCAGCCCAGCCAGAATTAAAAGAACCATATTATTATTCAGAAGTGGACAAAAGATCAGGAGGAAGAAATTGAACTGAAGACTGAAATCACTATTTCATTTGTGTCCTATTTATATGCAACAATTCAAAATGCACTTACAAGACTTTATTTAAAATGTAAATCCTTCAGCAG